AGTAGTATAGGATAACATAAATACACAGCATATGAATAAATAAATATATGAATGAATAAATAAATGAATATATATATATATATATATATATATATATACACTCACCGGCCACTTTATTAGGTACACCTGTCCAACTGCTCGTTAACACTTCATTTCTAAGCAGCCAATCACATGGCGGCAACTCAGTGCATTTAGGCATGTAGACATGGTCAAGACAATCTCCTGCTGTTCAAACCAAGCATCAGTATGGGGAAGAAAGGTGATTTGAGTGACTTTGAACGTGGCATGATTGTTGGTGCCAGAAGGGCTGGTCTGAGTATTTCAGAAACTGCTGATCTACTGGGATTTTCACGCACAACCATCTCTAGGGTTTACAGAGAATGGTCCGAAAAATAAAAAACATCCAGTGAGCGGCAGTTCTATGGGCGGAAATGCCTTGTTGATGCCAGAGGTCAGAGGAGAATGGCCAGACTGGTTCGAGCTGATAGAAGGGCAACAGTGACTCAAATAACCACCCGTTACAACCAAGGTGGGCAGAAGAGCATCTCTGAACGCACAGTACGTCGAACTTTGAGGCAGATGGGCTACAGCAGCAGAAGACCACACCGGGTGCCACTCCTTTCAGCTAAGAACAGGAAACTGAGGCTACAATTTGCACAAGCTCATCGAAATTGGACAATAGAAGATTGGAAAAACGTTGCCTGGTCCAATAGAGCATCTTTGGTATGTGGTGGAACGGGAGATTCACGTCATGGATGTGCAGCCGACAAATCTGCGGCAACTGTGTGATGCCATCATGTCAATATGGACCAAACTCCCTGAGGAATGCTTCCAGCACCTTGATGAATCTATGCCACGAAGAATTGAGGCAGTTCCGTCCAATACTCAGTAAGAAAATTAAAGCCTGGCGTGGCCACGTGTGGTTTTGCTGCCAATCACGAGCGATTTTACTTGTTTGAGAATAGTGGTTTCAGCCAATACTGACTAGGTTATTCAAGCCAGACCTGGCCAGCCGTGCGGGTTTGCTACATTCATATGCTAATTAGGGCCATTAGTAAAGCTGATCGCTCTCCACATACGTCAGAGTCCGTTCCCGACAATTTGTGGCACTGACAAACGGGGACAAGCGCGGGTTGCAAATTGTGGGAAACTGACGAAAATCAGGGGGATCTGCGGGAGTTTACGGGGACGAAAATCTCACTTTTCATGCAGTGTCATAGAGGTGACATATGAGACAATAGGGAAAACTGACCTGTTTGGAGGTGAACTAAGGCTAGCAGCAGGCAGACCCATGGGAGTGGCTGTGTCAGGCTGACCCACCGGAGAGGAGGTGGAGGTGTCAGGCTGAGCCGCTGGAGAGGGAGTAGGAGCGTCAGGTTGACGCAGAGGGAGTCGCCTTCTTCCCCCAGCTGCGGTGCTTACGCCTGGAGGAAGGAGATGGCAGGGGAGGACCAACAGCTGGAGATGGTGGAGGAACAGGGTTGGAGGTGATTGGCTGCCGAGTTGGAACGTGACAGAGTGATGGTTTGGGTGGTGGAAGTCTATAGAGTAGCTGAGAAAAGGCATCCTTTATGTTCCACTCAGCTAAGGCTATGTAACCTGCATGAAGTAAGAAGGTTTGGAGTTCTACATTTGAAGTCTTTTCAGTACTTCTTCTGCAGTTCCCACTCGCTGCATAGGTGGAGTGATAGTGGAAAGGTGGTCTATTGTTTCTATTAGGAGTTTTGAAAAAAATACTTTGGTGGCTCTGCTGGATCCATGTTGGCTGGTTCCTTTTGTCAGGGTTTGGTTGAGGTTTTGAGGACCCAAATGCTGAGAAAGGGAGGCAGAGGTGAGTTGTTGTAGTTTTAATGTAACGTTCACAGGTAAGAGAATCAGGAATCAAAATTCCAACATGACAGTAAGTCAGACCTGTTCCCAGTGCATGTTGGGCTGCCCTTTGTTCATTAAATTGACTTTTTATCATTTTTTTTTTGTAGTTTTCAAACGTTTTATTGTGATTACACTGTCACAAATACAGAGCATCGAAATTAACTCTACAAACCCAGGCTACCTGTTTTCAGGATGGCTTCTTACCACTTGATCTAGCCAGCCCAGGTATGCTGATCTGACAGGCACACTTTAAGCACCCTTTCCTTCCGCACGCTGCTGTCTGTGTTGTTGACACAGTCTGTTAATAAAAATAAACCAATCGTGTTTACCTCCTTACATGTTAGCCTTACTGCCTCTCTGATAGACATGCTGCTGCTGCAATAGCAGACTTAATAAAACATTAAAAAAAAGAGAGAGAGAGAGAGAGAGAGAGAGAGAGAGAGAGAGAGAGAGAGAGAGAGAGAGAGAGAGAGAGAGATGCAGGCCAGCAGACCATCTCAGGCTGTCATTTTGGGAATACTCCCAGTTCCTGCTATGGCCAGTCCGGGTATGCTTAAAGGTATTGTGGAGATTTTCACACATTTTTTAAAGAACCACCCTCTCCACTTAAAAAAAAAAAAAAAAATGCACGTGCGAGAGCATGCACAAGCCCATTTCTCCTCGTGCATGCTCTTTTTAAAAGTTGCTCTTCTCATAGCTCATGCAAGCTTACTGTGACTGAACGTCCTCCCTAACCTCTAAATCCCTCAATCACTATGAAAAGTGGGGGCTATACAGTGGACTTATAGTAAACTCAGTTAACTGACCGTTCGGACAGATGGTCACTACTTTTTCCCCCTTAGGTCACGTAACTTGTCCTCCACTGCAAAGTGCCAGTCTATCTTTGTTGTTAATTGCCGCCGTTGAGTAGCAGCAGCTTATGGCGACAGCAGGCCTCTGTGACAGCAAATCCAATAATACCTTGAGAGGAGAACTCTCCGCTTAAAGCATTCCAGGATAGATCTGCCTCTTCTGAGCTCTTTGTTTTTTTCTCATACGTTTCCTAGACACTTTTTCTATGAAATGTCCTTTCAAAGAAGGCTGGTGAGAAAGGTGAGCTTCAGTGACTCTCTGAAACTGTAGCTCACCACGCATATACGCCTGAAAGTAGCATTTGCAAAAAAAAAATGGCTTATGGAATGAGCACATAGGACAACCTTACGTAAACATATCACCAGAATGATTTACAACTAGGAGTACCACTTATTTAGATGATCCACCCGGAAATTAAAGATCATCCTCTATACCTTTAAAGGGATAGTTTGGGATTTTTGACATGAATCTGTATGGCATCTCCATGACCAGTGTCATGCAATCACACTGACTTACCCCTGGCAGCATCCTGTGAGCAGAGTTATCGTCCAGTTTTGGTCAAGCCGAAAGTAGTCCGGCAGGTTTGCTAGACCCAGCGAAATAAAACGTTTCTCTTCCCAAAACATTATGTGTTCAAAAGAGTGATATTTTTGCATCCCAAAAACATTGTAGTGGAAAAAGTCACACGTCGTTATCAATTGGTCCTATTTTCTCTCTGTTCGTATCAGTGCGCGCCGTCATTCAGACAGCGAGCCCAACAACAGCCAGATGCATTTCTCCTTCCGCCTAGCTCCTAGCTGGGCGGACCGAGACATGCATCTGGCTGTTGTTTGATCCGCTATTGTTTACTACTGGGGAAGATGTCTGACTACATGAGCGACGAGGAAAACATCGACTTCCACTTAGAGCCAAAGGGATATCTATATGAACCCGAGTACAGTGACGATGAAATTAGACAAATGGAGTTAGATCGGGCAGAAAGAGAGAGGGTGGACAGAGTTGTGATGGAAGCTGAAGCCGGTCCCGCAGCAGCCTCAGCTGGAGCTGCGATATCCAGGGTGGCCGACAAATCATGGTGCACTTGTTTAAAGTGCGAATTAATGCAGACAGAGGTGGAATGCTACTGTTGCCACGAGTGGGATTTAGTAATGCCCGAGATACAGAACCTTTCAATTGATGAGGATGTCGGAGTTGCAGCAGCTGCTGTCTGCATCACAAACCACAGCGACTTCCCTGCCCTCCTCAATGAAGGGGTCCTGAGAACGTTCTTCCATGTTCCCAAGATCAACTGGAAGAAGCGTCCCAGACCAGCTGGACCCGATGGTCAGTTGTCTGCAGAGTAAGTGTTGACTCCTCACTTAGATGTTGGAGGCATGGAGGTTGTTTATATTTTAGAACGTTATAAAAGTGTTCAGGCATTGACTTGTTAGGACATCATGTGTGTATTTAGTAGTGTTCTATAAATAGGCTAGGACATAGGAATATGAGTTATCATAATAATGTAATAACATTAGGGTGTTGCATAGGCCTAGCTGTATTATTTAATTTCCTTCAAGATTTGAAAGACAGCCTCCTGAGCTTTAGCATGTCTGTAGGCCTCTCCCACTTTACAATAGACCTATTGTCCTAAGCAGTATTGATTATCCAAACACTATGTTACAATTTCATGATAAAAACGTTGTTTCATTCACTTCATCTAAATGTATTATAACACAGCACATCAAATCTGACCAAGTGCTTTCAAATTCACCAACACACACATTGTATTGTCATATCAAGTATGCACCAACTTGTGTTGTTTACTATTTCAGACAGTACAGGCTGATCGCCTATCGCATCGTCATGGAATGGGGTCTAAAAGGAGAGAAGCTTGGTCCAGGAAACAGGAGAGTTCTTCCTTCCTGTGTGGTGGAGCTAATAAGAAGAACTTATCCATCACCAACTGGGCAATATGCAGGTTTCAAAGAATCAGCGGATGCACAGCAATTGTTTTAAATATTTTACTTCACACGTTCCAAATGTTTTACTTATAGAAGTTTTGCTGTTTTCTACATTTTCTACTGTTTTTCTGATTTTCTACATATTATTTACACTAAAAATTTTACAAATTATTTACGCCACAAATGACTACCATTTCAATAATAAAATAAGACTATGTTCACCAAGACTTCAGTTGTAATGGTTTTGATGACGCTTACAGTACAATAGGAATTATGAGAAAATGGGGAAAAATAATGAAAAGTACAACAATCACAAATAAGGTTTTTATTTCAGTCTCAGACATCAACATCTGTATCACCAGTATTTTTAGTTGGAAAGCGTGACGCATGTTCTGCAACCAAGTCAGCCTTGTTTGGCTTTGGAGTGGGAGCAATGTTGGCCGGTATGCTGACAGGAGGATGGACATGGAAAGCGGGATCTCCAAGCCTGACATTCTTGTCAAGCCGCCGTCGAATGACCCGCTCCACCAATTCTTTCCGGAACTCCTGCGTTGTTGGCTCATACAGCTTTCTTGCCACCCACTGGTTTGATTGCCTTGAGTGAATGACATTGTACTTTTCCTGTCCTGGGAATGAGAAGAGTGACACAAGAATCATGAGGATGGTTTATGTCCATTACATACTGTGATTTGTGTGGCCCCTGACTTGAGGAAGGGGGAGAGTAAAAAGCTGTAACTAACTAAAGACTAGGTTATAAGATGCGGAGGCAGAGTACTGCAGTTGTCCCTTATTCTATTTGATGAGAAGTAGCCCAGTTCGTCATAACTCTATGGTTCTTGGCCTTGAGCAGCAACCAGGCTCAGGTGCAGACATTTTTCGTTCAGGTGTGCATGTATGAACAGAAAGACAAATACTTTTTCAAAAGTGTCGATCTGATCTGATACATTGCATCTTTTTGTCTTACTTTGACCTTTTGGCATTTTCTGCAAATAAATTGGGCATTTCACTGGTTTATAGAAGTAAACAATCAAGTTTTTTTTTACTTCAATACATACTGTAAATAAGTAGTGAAATCACAATAATAATAACAATGTTTTTGAAATGGCGCCTCTTCTCCGCGTACTTCAGCATGGAGCTGTGTAACACTTCAAGGGCCCCTGAGAGAAAATAAACATATACAATAGTACAGTGTTTATATTATGCAAAACTAATGTTTTCTCAAAGGAAAGGTGACACACAAAAATATTTCCCTTTGAGATATTCTTACTCGTTTAGGGAAAATGTATTCAACCTACTGCCTAGAAGTTTATCCACACTTACCTGTATGCTTGAACAAAGTCATTTTACTGAGGTCTCTCAAAAGATTTTTGTCCAGTACAACACTCTTCAGAGCGTTCCAGGCAGGACACCCCTTTTCCAGCCATTTCTTTCGTCGTTGTTGCTCCTCGCTGATGTCTTCGTGGCGACATCTGTACTCCTGGTCATTTTCTTCCCAGCGGTGGATACCACACACATGGTAAAGGATAGAGGTCCACCGGTGTTTCAACTCCTATTTGAGGACAATTAGACACTGCTTAGCAATTTTCTCAGGTACATTTTAGACACAGAGTATTCATATCTGAACATGCTTTTGTGTGAAACAAATGTTCAACGTGTATAGATCATCATCAGCTTCTAAGGGTTTCGTTTTTATCTCTAATTTCTAATCATTGCTTGCTAAATTTTTACAAGAGTAGGAAAAATGGATTCACAATGAGCGTTGCTTCAGAACTGGACAGGCTGGTATCACAGAAGTGTAAGTAACTTGAAGTTACATTGCATTGTTGTGGTGTTCCTTTTCTGTTTTGGAGCCGTGTTGGCTTTTACAAGGCATAACATCACTATGAAACAGCTTGGCAAATTCATGAATGAAAAGAACTAGTTGTATTGAAGAAATAACAGTACTGCGTTATGCATAACAACATGTCTATGAGCATCACCTTCTCATCGCCACCACAAGAACTGCACGACCACCAGAAGTGATTGCCCAGAGACTTGATCCATGGCTGCAGGTCCCGGTTTTCTTTCTTCCTTGCCAATGCAGTTGCCTTCTTCTTTATACCTAAATAATGCATAAAAGATGAAAATAAATGTATAAATTATTTTGTCAACTGTAATAGCATTACAATAGACTTATGCAAAGGTTCAAACGTGAAGATTTCACAAAATGAAGCAGTGTATAATGCCCAAATAATGGTACCTTTTGCAACATGCCATGGGTCAAATTGATGCCTAAGCTCAGGATAGGACTCCCTCATGATCTTCCGTATTGATGGAGCCCGGTCAGTAGTTACCACGTAAACACCAACGCCGGAGTCCAGCAGACGATCCAGGCCCCTCCGGAAACCAACAGGCTCCATTGCTGTTGAACTGGTAGCCTCAGTTACCTGTATTGATCATTGTAACAGGAAATACAGAACAAACATGCAGAGAGGCCTGTGAAAAGCAGAACAAAGTGATAAAACACACTCAATAACTTACTTGGCAAAACTATTCATACTTTACCTGAATTAGATCTGACATGATGACTTTCTTTGTTGCATCTTCCATAAAGCTGTAACAGGTGTACTTGGCACTGTAACCCGGGGAATCAGATCTGTAGAAGACAAACAAGGAAGTTACTTGTGGAGTGATGGCAAAAATGATTTGATGTGAATTATAATGTAACAGGACAACTAACTACATATACTGCATGATCCATTATGGGAATATCCACCTTGCATCACCACAGATATCTGTGTGTCCACCAGCAGCTTCAGTTTCCCTGAGTTCTGACAAAATCTCCTCTTGCATCTCGGTGTAGGCTTCTTGAATAACAGGTATCATATAGGTGGACTGCAGTGAATAGTATGCTGTTCTCTTTAGCAGTTGTAAGTTTAGAAGATCAGCCCACTCTTCAATTTCATTCTGTGTTGTTCCTGTGAAAATAATGGCTGCTGAGGATACCAGGTTGTTCTCAGGTATTCCACGGACATCAGGACAGGACTCCCACACTCCCATATGGTGATTGATGCATGTCCATTCTATTTTAATTTTTGATCCACGGCTGGTGATCTTCTTCTCACAAATGGATATCCCGCATGTGTGACAAGTTGTAAACAGTTCCATTAGACATGACTCATTCACAATCCATTTCCTCTCAGACCAGTCGCCTCTCCTTTCTGCTCCCGCAATGTTGTCTGAGGAAGATGATCTTGTAGATGTGTCATCACTGCTCAATTCAAGGAATGTGCTGTCATCTCTGTCCACAGGTGTCTCTATGGATGTCATGGTGGTATCCAGGGTCTCAGGTGCAACATCTGAGCTAGGGTTTTCTGACTATAAATATAGAAAAAGAATACAGAGAAGTCAAAGTACAGTAAATTGGCTGACTGGCTGCACTTACTTATAGTGTGCAAAGGGCTTCATGATCATACAGTATTTTGATCATGTGAAATTGTTAGCTTTTTATTCAGACTAAACGTGTAGAAAAATATGGGCTTACCTGTGACAGTCTCCCGGTAGGAGGTAGGGCTATGTATGTTCCTGAAGTCGATGGCTTTTTGCTTGGACCAGCATCAGCTGGGCTGGTGAGCATCATCTGGAACTGTTGCTTGTCCAATCTGGACTTCAGGGGGGTTGACTGAAGAGCTGGCTCTTCTTCAGAGGTTGCGGCCTTAGATTGTGCCGTTTCAGCCATTGCAACAGGAGCACATGCCTTTGAAAACACACAATTTTTTGCATTGTGGATTTCAGGTATCTCAGTCAGGTTTTAGAAACAGTAACAGTAACATAACATCAGCATTCACTTTCTTCAAATAACGGTGACATATTTTTATGCAGAATTTCACTAAGGAGCACATTGTCTTTCAGAGTGGTCAATACATTTATCCAATTTCAAAGAAAAAGCTTTGTGTTCTTCATGTCCTGTTTTGACCTGTTTCCAAATGGCACTTCATGCAAACAGCACGTGTGGGACTCACTCAAGGCTATGTGATGCCAGGGGCGGATTTAGGAAATTTGGGGCCCTAGGCAAAGACAGGCAGGGGGCCCCCTGAGAAGAAAACCCATAAAACAGACCCATTCTACGGATAGAGAAATGTTAATAGAATAGACATCCATTATTTGTTCTAGGTTTTGTCCCTCTCTTCTTGTCCCTTTTTCCTCTCTATTTATCAGCGTTCTGATGGCATTTTAGCCAAAGGATTTTTATCAAAAACATAATTAATGTGCACAAATAAGGATTAGTTTTATTAACCATACATGGAAACAGAGTTTTATGGGGCCCCCAGGAACTTGGGGCCCTAGGCAACTGCATAGTATTGCCTAATGGTAAATCCCCCCGTGTGATGCTCATGGCCGACGACAGCAGAATACCGTCACACTGGGCTGCCTCTCATCAACTAAACCAGGGTAGATCAGCGTACTAGGCAAAATTTTTAGAAGATTTTTCTTCAAGGAAGACGCAGATGAGTCAAAATGGAAGTCCCTTTGCGCACCGAAATAATATTAAAATACAAAGCTCCGGACGTCCCTGGTCTGCTACTTCGAGAGTTATTAGCTGAGACCGACAGCCCAGTTTGTCACAGCCTAGAGCCCTCTAGCAGATTGTACACTGACAGAAACCATGGAGTAGGTAGCCTACTCGTACGTCAGCGTAATCAGGGGGGGATTTACCATTAGACAATACTAGGCAGTTGCCTAGGGCCCCAAGTTCCTGGGGGCCCCATAAAACTCTGTTTCCATGTATGGTTAATAAAACTAATCCTTATTTGTGCACATTAATTATGTTTTTGATAAAAATCCTTTGGCCAAAATGCCATCAGAACGCTGAAAAATAGAGAGGAAAAGGGGACAAGAAGAGAGGGACAAAACCTAGAACATATAATGGATGTCTATTCTATTAACATTTCTCTATCTGTAGAATGGGTCTGTTATATGGGTTTACTTCTCAGGGGGCCCCCTGCCTGTCTTTGCCTAGGGCCCCAAATTTCCTAGATCCGCCCCTGAGTGTAATCATAGTTGCAGATGATTGAAACAGCCCTGTTTAGTAAGCATCACTAATACTATGACACCGAGTGATTGATTATGTTTTATGATTAATATTCTCAACATTGCTTTTGCATAACCCTGCCGCATCAACGTTAGGCTACGCACGGCTGCTACATAAAATCATTTGTAGTTTTGCTTACCAGTGTTGCAGGAACAGCAGAGCTCTTCAAAATCCTTTTCTTCGTATCTCTTGGGCACGAAGACACAAAGTCGTCCTCGCTGAAGTGAGCACTGCAAACTCGGAGCTTTTTAATTTTTTCCAGTCTGGTGTCAACATGGAATCCCAAAGCGAGTAGCCAAAGTTTCCTGACCGCAACGTCCGTCAGAGGAAAACGATGAAAACTGAGAGATTTACCATCAATTTTGTTGGCACAACCAGGATAATCGCAAGCCTTCACCATTTTTAAACACCCGGATTTATATAAATATAATCAAATACTATCTTGTAAAAGTGTTATTAACTTGGTTAGCTCAAAAGCTAGCTCGGTGGCGTTGCTAGTAAACAAAGGCTGCTAAGTTAGCACTGAAATGAGCTGGAAAAGTTGAGCTCGCTGTCTGAATGACGGCGCGCACTGATACGAACAGAGAGAAAATAGGACCAAGTGATAACGACGTGTGACTTTTTCCACTACAATGTTTTTGGGATGCAAAAATATCACTCTTTTGAACACATAATGTTTTGGGAAGAGAAAAGTTTTATTTCGCTGGTCCTAAAAACCTGCCGGACTACTTTTGGCTTGACCAAAGCTGGACGATAACTCTGCTCACAGGACGCTGCCAGGGGTAAGTCAGTGTGATTGCATGCCACTGGTGATGGGGATGCCATACAGATTCATGTCAAAAATACCGAACTATCCCTTTAAGGTCATTAATAAAAAGATCACTATTCTGCCTCTTGCTACTAAGAGACGGCAAGAAAAAAAACAACCATGGCGGATGATGATGCAGAGAGCAGTATTTATGTTTAACCATGTGAAAAAATTTAGTTTTTAAGGTTTGAAAAGATGTGCACCGGCACTACCATCCATGTTTACTTTTGTAAACACAGAGCACGCTGGCCTGTGACGTCATCGCCTCCTCTAGTGCACATGCGGGACACTTGCGTTGTATGACTGAACTTCACACAGGAGATCACATACAAGTCACATATATTTGGAAATATGAATGGCAACGCAAAAAAAAAAAATTCGGATTTTCTCAAAAGAATCGGAATTGAGCATTAAGGCATGTGAACGTAGCCCTTTTTTATTTTCAGAGAGAAAAGAGCTGAAGGTATGAATAAGGAAACCCTAGAGCCTTAAAGCCATACGTCTCACCTGAAGAGAATCAGTGTCAGTGGCACGGGGGAACAGGGCATGGCGGAGCCGCCAATCTCTGCAGCATTGCGTGGAATCTGATTCACTTTCTCTCTCCTCTGTATTGCTGAGCAGTGCTGCAGAGTGCAAAAGCTTAGTTTATTCCCCTTCACAGGTTGATGATTTTGTTGATGGGGTTGCTAGTTCTCTGCATACCGCCTTAGACAATGCAGCCCCTTTGAAAATGAAAAACTGTTAAAATAAAAAGCTGGCTCCTTGGTTTAATGCAGAGCTGCACAGATTAAAGAAAACTAACCCAGAGCCATAGCTCTGTGGAACCATCCATCCCACCTGCTCTTAGCAGGAATGATTATATAGGATTCTTTATAAATAAGATTGATTTTAATTAAAAATAATAAAAATATAATATAATTAATGATATCTGTGGATGACGAAGGCTTATATTGCAGAAATGAACTTGACAGGTTGTTACGACAAGTTTGAGTGACAGGAACAGACAACATCAAGCTACAACAGGGGAGAATGACATCACATGATAGGAGACAATGACAGGTTTCCATTTCAGGGTTGAAAAACATAACTGAAGGACCAAGTGAAGAACTCATCATAGTCACATAATATTTCATATAGACATATGAATTCAGCAGATGGACACAAATCTGACAGATGCACATAAACCTACTAAAGATACAGCTTCTATCACGTAAGCAACCTTAGGCTGGGCATACACTGTACGGGTTTTTGCCCTTTTCAGAGCGCTTTTCCAGCCGTAAAAGAATGTTTTGGATCGGTTGGAGTTTCAGTCTCATGGTGCATCCTGCGTCATGTGGTATACAGGGGGTAACGAGGGGTGATTAGCCCCTCAGGGCTTCCTCTTCCTCAGGAATCATAAGGTCAGGAGAAAATCAACCATCTTTGAAATTCAGTCGACCCTCATGAGGTGTTAGTGAGCAAATGCTGCTGTTGAAGCAGAGCTATTAACTGATTTACCAGAACCCCACGCACTGCCCATGTGCAAGCAAGGTATTCCTTCTTCTTTCCATTCTTTAAGAATGATGAGTCTGACCAGCGCCATCTCTCGGTGCTTAGACTGATGTGTGGTTTTTAGATGTACAGTGTGAGTGTTGGGCTCTGTAGTGGAAGAACATTCATTCTGAGCTGTGAACTTTAAAACTCTGCAATTTCATCTTATACTTTGAACTGTACCTGAGTACAATGATTGAAAATAGCGTACAGTATGCTGATGAAGGTTCTCAGTCATCCAGGTCATAGTTATTCCGTAAAAATTCAAAAAATATCCACTGGACTTGGTTTTCAAGATTTGAAGATGTTTCTCCACCTCTCCAGGAAGCTTTCTCAATTCAAATGTCTGGATCCGCAGTGAGTTTGAGTCTTTATATAGACATAGCCTTTTATCGCTTGGAAACATGCAAATGGTAACCGATGAATGGGTCGTTTGGTTCCATCGTTAGCCTAGCGTACAGTGTATACCCAGTTTTACATAGACGTGTGAACACATCACATCACACATGAACACACATTTTTTACAAATGGAACCCCAAAGTTTTTCAACCTGACATTTAAGCTGTAAAAATGCAACTTAATGCCACTTAGTATTTACTGTGTAAAAGACTGAATCAAACTGAGGAGGAACCCATGAGATGATGAACAGGTTCTATATATTAGAACAACATTTTTATTCCTTATCTTCACCTGCTGACCGAGTGATTGATTATGTTTTATGATTAATATTCTCAACATTGCTTTTGCATAACCCTGCCGCATCAACGTTAGGCTACGCACGGCTGCTACATAAAATCATTTGTAGTTTTGTTTACCAGTGTTGCAGGAACAGCAGAGCTCTTCAAAATCCTTTTCTTCGTATCTCTTGGGCACGAAGACGCAAAGTCGTCTTCGCTGAAGTGAGCACTGCAAACTCGGAGCTTTTTAATTTTTGCCAGTCTGGTGTCAACATGGAATCCCAAAGCGAGTAGCCAAAGTTGCCTGACCGCAACGTCCGTCAGAGGAAAACGATGAAAACTGAGAGTCGATTTACCATCATCTTTGTTGGCACAACCAGGATAATCGCAAGCCTTCACCATTTTTACACACCTGGCTTTATATAAATATAATCAAATACTATCTTGTAAAAGTCTTATGAACTTGGTTAGCTCTAAAGCTAGCTCGGTGGCGTTGCTTGTAAACAAAGGCTGCTAAGTTAGCACTGAAATGAGCTGGAAAAGTTGAGCTCGCTGTCTGAATGACGGCGCGCACTGATACGAACAGAGAGAAAATAGGACCAATTGATAACGACGTGTGACTTTTTCCACTACAATGTTTTTGGGATCCAAAAATATCACTCTTTTGAACACATAATGTTTTGGGAAGAGAAACGTTTTATTTCGCTGGGTCTAGCAAACCTGCCGGACTACTTTCGGCTTGACCAAAGCTGGACGAGAACTCTGCTCACAGGACGCTGCCAGGGGTAAGTCAGTGTGATTGCATGACACTGGTGATGGGGATGCCATACAGATTCATGTCAAAAATACCGAACTACCCCTTTAAGGTCATTAATAAAAAGATCACTATTCTGCCTCTTGCTACTAAGAGACGGCAAGAAAAAAAACAACCATGGCGGATGATGATGCGGGGAGCAGTATTTATGTTTAACCATGTGAAAAAATTTAGTTTTTATGGTTTGAAAAGATGTGCGCCGGCACTACCATCCATGTTTACTTTTGTAAACACAGAGCACGCTGGCCTGTGACGTCATCGCCTCCTCTAGTGCACATGCGGGACACTTGCGTTGTATGACTGAACTTCACACAGGAGATCACATACAAGTCACATATATTTGGAAATATGAATGGCAACGCAAAAAAAAAAAATTCGGATTTTCTCAAAAGAATCGGAATTGAGCATTAAGGCATGTGAACGTAGCCTTTTTTTATTTTCAGAGAGAAAAGAGCTGAAGGTATGAATAAGGAAACCCTAGAGTGTCACGATTTGGTTAAAAGGTTTAGATTGGACCCAAACGCAGAAGCTGGGAGGCAGAGGTGAATTCTTGGAGGGTTTATTGCAAGATAAGGCAACAAAAACAGGTATCCAAAAATCCTACTTAAAAAATGGTAAACAAAAACAGGAATCCAAAAATCCAACTTAAAAAATGTTTAACAAAAACAGGAATCCAAAAATCCAACATAAAAATCAAACACTAACCAGAACCATGGAGACATCAGGGAAAAACCAACAAGGAGCCAGGGTGAGGAAAGGTAAAGACGAGGAACCAGCAAAGAGGGACTGCAGAGGGAGTGTATTTATGGCTGACTGAACAAAGGTAGAGGTAATGAGCTGATAGGGAACAGGTGTGATTAGAGCTGACGAGGAAGCCAAGGGAAAAGAACACAAGGAGGCAGCAGGGGACAGACAGAAAAACCTAAGCAACTTAAATGAATCCAGACACACCAAAAAAGCTAGAAATCAATGAAAAACCTGGCTAAACTTGAAACAGAAAGCTTAAAGAAAAACAACAGAACCAAGATCATTACAGAGCCCCCCACTCAAGGGCGGATTCCAGACGCCCCTTTAATGTCCAAAAAGCAAAAAAAAACAAAACAACCCAGGGTGGGCGGAGGGGGAACCAGGAAGGGGGGCAAGAAGCCAAAAACAGTCCAAGAAACAAAACGCAACCCATCCAGAGTGGGCGAGGACAATCGAAAGTCTCTGAAAGGCCGGCCGCGGGGCCGGGGCTGAGAGAGACGCCCTGGAGGCCGGCCGCGGGGCCGGGGCTGAGAGAGACGCCCTGGAGGCCGGCCGCGGGGCCGGGGCTGAGAGAGACGCCCTGGAGGCCGGCGTCTCCAATGCAGCAGAAACCTAGGAGGAGGACGCCGCCTCCGCAGGATGCGCCGAGGAGGACGCCGCCTCTGCTTCTGTTGCTCTGCAACAGGCTCAGAGGGAGCCGTCGACTGCGGCTCTGGAACAGCCTCGGAAGGGGCCGCCGACTGCGGCTCTGGAACAGCCTCGGAAGGGGCCGCCCACTGCGGCTCTGGAACAGCCTCGGAAGGGGCCGCCCACTGCGGCTCTGGAACAGCCTCGGAAGGGGCCGCCCACTGCGGCTCAGGAACAGGATCAGACTGGGCCGCCCACTGCGGCTCAGGAACAGGATCAGACTGGGCCGCCCACTGCGGCTCAGGAACAGGATCAGACTGGGCCGCCCACTGCGGCTCAG